TTGTCTCAGACGACTAACCCAACTACCCCTCGTAATACCCTTTCGGGTAAGGAACGAAGTAGCGTTCGTCTGCTTTTCTAGAACCAACGACACCTTCGTGCTACTACTAGAAAGTAATAATATATATATACATATATATATATAATAATATATATACACACACACACACACACACACACACACATATATATATATATATATATAAATATACATATCCGCTGAGCGATTTTTTAAAGCCTCAATAGATGTACGTATATACACGTAAATATAAATATAAATATATATATACATTTACATATTTATATAGTCACAGTATTTCTCCTACATATAATATATCTGCGCAATCGATTGTCATATATCTTTATATCTTTAAAAGTGAACTACAGTCACTTGACGTATTTTTCTAAATGGCTTTGTAAGATCTTCGTGAACTCCTAATCTAATAATCCCCACGTTGTACCATGTCCAGGACAGAATAATACGCTAGCTTGGGCTGATAATCTTCATTGAACAACAATGGGTAGTCCTTGCGACCATTGATAGGCCAGAAGTTATACCATGTGTGGTCATCGCTCAGTCCCCAGAAGTAAACAGCTGCGAAGTACTGCTTGTTTCTCATAATCATCTGGAAGAACTTGCGGTAGTGTGCTGCCAATCTAACCTGCTCTGTTTCGGGTAGTCCATTAGGGTAGGGATCGACTCCGTCTTGAAAATCTTCAGGAAGGGATTCCAATTCAAGCGCACGGCAACAACTCCAACCCTCAGGGTTTACACTCACATCCACCTCAGTCATCAGGACCTCAGCGCCAGCCTCTCCAAACAGCTTCACACTGTAGTCGAATTCATCGATAGTGGCGGTTACATATGTACCTACAAACTCATTGTACGTGGGTCCTTCAGTATGATATTGATGACCTTGCATACCAATACCATTGATTGGCACGCCCTCGGCCACCATCTCCTTGTAGAATTCTACTAAGCCATCGGCCTTATCTTTCTTCCATAGATGATGTCCGTTGTAATAGAGCTTAGCTTCGGGATCAGCATTGTGTGCAAAGCGGAATGCAGCCTTGATTCCCTCCTTACCCAAAGTTCTGGGCAGGGCGAAATCTTGTCTGATATTACCATCATTGTCAAACCACTCATTCACAACAACCCAACTACCGATCCTACCCTTATAGCGTCCGACCACATCCGTAATGTGTCTTTCCATGCGTCTCATCAAAGTGTCATATAGATCTTCGCCGTCTACGGGCTCGGAGATCCAACCTCCGCCCTTCCAGGCGAGTGAGTGACCGATTACAGGCAGTCCCTTCTCTTCAGCATACTCTACCAAAAGATCGGCCTTCTCAAAGTCGTACTCACCTTCTCTCGAGGAGATATATTTCCAAGCTAAGTAATTTTCAGGGATAAGAACATTGTAATTCTCACTTACCAATGTTTCAGGTTTTGAGCCGGCCTCTAGCTCCTCGACAGGGTCTCTGATAGAAGCTCCGATCAAGAAATCATTGAACACATCCTTAAGTGGTTCATAATCCGGTTTACTGTTACATGTAGGTTTGGTACCTTGCCACTGCCCGTCAGCTCCACAGGTGAAATCCTGAGCAGAACCAACCCGGGTAACGGAGCAAAATATTCTGCAGGTATCACCCTCTAGTCCAGCGCCACACTCGGAGATGTAACCATCGCCGTAATAATCTATGGCGGCGCAACTCGCAATAGTGCCGGTGCAATTCGGGTAGCCACCCTGCCATCCTAGCACACCATCCTCGTCTTCTCTGCAGACTTGGGCTCTCTGCCCGCCATTACCCTCAACGGCCGTGTTACGACACACAACCTGACATGCAGTGCCGGGGGTTACTCGCTGACACTTGTAGTCCAGACCTCTGTAAATATCGGGCAACACGAGCGGAATGCACCTGTTGGTCTCATCACCTCTACAGTTGGGTGGCTGACCCTTCCAGCTGAGAGTTTTGTCGGTATTGACACCACATTGGTACTCGGTGAAACCACCCTGGAAACCTTCTGCACACTTCACATCGCACAGGTCATTCACGTCACCTTCGCCACAATCAGAAGTATCGTACTTCTCTCCGAAATCTCCCAATGACTTACAATTCTCGGCGCTCTGATTGTCATCCAGTGCATTATCTATTTCCTCAATAATGCCTTGTCGAGCAGTTCGGCTGAAAACATCATCACTAATTTTGATAGACGAATCAGCAGAAATGGCAAAGCTATAATCAACAGGGTCTGCATTTCGCCCACAGCTTTTCCTTGGGAGCGCTGTAACGGAGGAGATAAGAACAAGCCCCGCCGTGGCTGTGGCAGCTATCTTTCCAACTACCATTCTCTGACGTACCTTAATCAACGACCGGTTTCTTTTTAATGACGTTCGTCGTCCTGTATAATACTAAGTGACTGTCGAGTGCTTGGATGGAATATACATTATATGTATGTATCAATGGTCGTTTAAAAATAACATTTGTAAAGAAAGCCAAGATTCAAAATCGTCTCTTGGCCGAAATGATCCACGCACGACGGATTTATAAAAAACAAAAACTTCAGCTTTCCGCCTTCTGGCTCTACTCTGAGTCTCTGACTCAGTCACTCAACAGGCCTCTCTCTAGCTTCTACTTGATTCCTTTTGCGACCTGTCGTTAACTATCAGGTGTCGTCGCTCCAGTACTGCTGGTAATTGGCACTGTATATTCATATATATAATTATTTATCATTTACAATTACTGACAAGATAAGAATTTAAAACAAACACTATATATTCAACGACACGTAAAGAGTAAATAGTAACTGCAGGTCTTCATAAAAACCTAAAGTATTTTATTAGAGCAGTATAAGTTGAATTCAATTGGACAGAAGGCAGTAGCATTACATCCTCTAAAAAAGAGGGTTAAAAATCCATAAAGATCTGTGCAATCTGCATTTCTTATTCTGCACACTATGTACGACTCTACAGTCTACGAGTCTATTTACGTCTCTACTCTCTACAGAGAGTCTAAGAATACGTATTTACTGTTTTTACTGTTTTGTTTTGGATTTTATATAAAGTATTTTATTGTTGGAAAAATTCTAACCTTCTATTTATATTGAACATTCAGGACCCACGCTCCAGGACCGGTGGGTTTAACTGATATATTTTATTTTATAAAAAAAGATGTATTTACAGTGTTCCACGTGGGTTTTTATTATTAATTAAAAATAGGTTTCTGACGTCTCCAGAAAAATAGAGAGCAAGAGAGAGCAGTGACCAAAAGACCATACTCGCACTCTGAGACTGTGGATCTGTGTCTCTGTGAGACTGTGAAGTGTGACAACAGTGACTGTGCTGCAGTCCGCACTGCCGTGGGGCGTAGATATCTATTTTTTTTTCACGTTGACAAAATTGTCATTTCGACAGTTAAAAAAATACTTGTGTGTTTTGGAAAAAAATGATTTACTCGACAGTTGACATTTGTGATGTGTGGGAGTTGGGACTGTTACGGAGGACGGGAATCGGACTCGCGTGTGTCGAGTTGTTGACGCGTCGTCGTATTGTAAACAAAAAAAAAATTACAATATTATGTTGTAAAAGCCGAGAGTTTTACAATGTATATTTGCATATTTGTTACATTTTTACATAACTTATTCTACGCAAAAAAATCCAGAGGGTTGCCCCCACTCATCCGAACTACTATTGAAAGGTAAAGGACCAATCACATGTGCGTCTTAAATAAATTTATGTAAAAAAAGACCATGATTTGCTCATTTTCACGCGTGCTACAAAGGCTACTGTTGCTGGCGAGTCCCAATGTCCCCCACAGCGGACAGCGAGCTCACCGGGCCCTGGCTCAATCTTCAGCCGTCCGCGTGCAGTTATGCAGCCATATCGAAACGGGTTTTAGAGTTTAGAGTTTAGACACAGTAGTCTAGCTTTGATAAGAGACTCGTGATTGTTGTCGATCAGTTGATATGATCGTTATCACTAAAAAAACTGGAATTCCTTAGGCAAACGAGTTTATCCAGATTCTAAGAAAAATGTATCGCCGATACGGGAAATACGTTAACAGGCCACACCACCCTTCGGCATGCGGTTGAGGGTTCATTCTGACCGTGGAGAACTTTTACTGCCCACAAAGGGCCCAAGGGGCAGAAACTTTGGTCATGGTAGTGATAGTACACTTCGCGAGTAATGCCTATCGATATGAAATTTTCTGCCAAGTTCTTAGCGTCGCGCGTACAACACAGCGAACAGCCGGGTTTGTCAATCGAAAACGCCAAAAATGGAAAGCATATTGAGTACTCATGAGGCCATGACCCCCCATGTATTACTCGGACCAAGGACTGTGCATCCCTTCCCATCCCACCGTCACTGTACTGATGAAATGCTCAATGCACCTCCAGAGAGCTTCACCAATCATCATCGCTATTCGAACCATCACTTTCCGAATCCCTCTCTTTTCTACCCTGCCCAACTAAGCCTTTAGATCGTTTCACCTCAAAGTTCGGTACCTGCGTGGCTGTTTCAAACCGGTGCTCAGCGCCGAACGCTCCGATTTTGCTCAGCTTTTCTTCAACACCTGATGATAGAGCGTGTACATCAGAATGAGTGACGTAGGGTTGAACTGCTCGTATAATCGCTCATTGAAGCTTAGATTGCAATGTATCCAAGCTGAAAGAAACTCCGCTAAAGAAGTTCAACGCTGTGTGATGCGTTAAGTATGCGCCAAAAAAACTCGATTCGCTAAAACAAGTCACAACAGTTCTCACTCAACTTACCTGTCACAGTAACATCCCCAGTACCGAAAGAACTACGGCCAACTACTTGTCCCTTAAGCTCCCCATCTCTGTACACGAACAGGGTGGGCAGATTCCGATCCGGGTAGTTCTCAATACATCTCGTAGATAAGATCTTCACAAACTTCGTAGCCTTGTGCTTCTTGGCAAGAGCTTCTACGCATCCACTGACCACTTTGCTGGCTTCGATCCTATCATAAGAAGCGTAGCATAGAGACGAGAGATATGCGCGTGACTACAATGATCACATACTGCGTCATTTTGGACGCGTACATTATAGCCGCGTACGTTAGGCACAACTTTTCGAGCAACAGTTAAAAGTATAGCTTTCTAGCCTACATCATGAGCTGCTTACCCATTTTGGCGTACATTATAGCCGCGTACGTTAGGCACAACTTTTCGAGCAACAGTTAAAAGTATAGCTTGCTAGCCTACATCATAAGCTGCTTACCCATTTTGGTACAAATGCACCACAACCCAGATCTTCTCCCCTGCCTCGTTCACTTGTTTCTTCCAGTCCGGTTTCGAAATCTCTATAACTTCCCCATATATTTCCTTCGATAGTTTTGCCTTCATTTCTTCCAGTCGTTGTCGCCTGTAAACACGAGGATATAATTATATTCGATGACAACATAAATAAATAAATAAATGAATAGATATCAATATATATATACAACGAGGAGATTATCGACACACAAATAAAGTAAACAATACTATGACTATTCGTGAGTTACAGTACCGATTGTATCGAAAGAAGTTGCAAGATAGACAAGGCACCGACAAGCACATACCTGTACGCATGTACAATCTGCTCGTCATCAAGCTCATCTTCGAATTCGTCAAGTTCTTCCAAATCCATATTTTCGTACTTTCTAGGTCCGGTACGAGCCTCGACAGCCTACAATAAAGATGCAAGACACAGGCGCAATAAAATGAGCAATTATTCACCATGTACGCAACCAGCGTCCGAGAAAGTGTGAACACGAGTGTGCTTAGCAAGAATACTTGTATTTCGTACACCTGAGCAACATGGACACAGGCACCAAAGCGTTTGCTAAACTGCTACACTTCACTAAAATAAAATACAATATGAAAGTTGAATGCATTTAACAATTCATATGTGCCAATATGTATATTTGAACTCCTCTGAAACTGTTTAACTCATATAAACAGTTTGCATAAATATTAGTAGCAGCCATAAGAGTACACAGATACATAACAAGCGAAGGGATATACATGTGAAGTTAAATTGATTTCTATCAAGCTTTAGATATAATATACAAATGCATAAAATATTCATATATATATATATATATATATATACATACACACACACACACACACACACACATATATATATATATATATATATATAACACACACACACACACACACACACATTTATATATATGATATATGTCTATAGATATAAATATAAATATATATATATATATTCATATAAACGTATATAAATGTATATATATATATATACATAAATACATCCGTACATGCATGCGTACGTATATATATATATATATATATCTATATATATATTTATACATATATATATATATATGTATACGTATATATATATCATATAGAAACATATGTATATATATATATATATATATATATATATTTATATATATATACATAATATATGAGGATAAATATGTATTAATATACATATACACACACAGACACGGACACAAATATTATAATATATATCTATATATAAATATATATATATATGATATATATATATATATATATATATATATATATATATATATGTATGTATATATATATTTATATATATATATATGTATATAGATGCATTGGACTACATGTTCATGCATATAGGAATTTACATAAATGTACATGTAGGTACACTGGTGTGAATTGGCACATCAATTTTTAAAGGTATAATTATGTAGAAATACTCATAAATGCATGTCCAGAAACGAGCATTAAAATAAATACACTTAGATATATCTAGACATAAATACTTGGAAAAGGGAGAGGGATGTTCGTACGTATATATGTGTATAACGATTCCTGTGTAATTTATGTATTTTGGTCATCCGAGTGGGTATATCTGTACATCTAGATGATTTGACGTAATGTCCCTGTCGACCATTCGTTTTCAATTAGTGAGTCAAAAATGAGATAATCTGAACACCATACCATACACAAATGATGTCAACTTTAATGTTGCGCAGGCAAACTGACAGACGCTTTCTGTTTCATTGACCCTTTGTGTGCTCACGGTTCCTCAGTATTCAAGTAATATAGCTATATCCAGTTCCATACAGATGAATAGAGATGTATTTCCACATACACATACGACTCACAATACTTCGCAAAACCAACGACAGTATGTTACAATCGGTACT